TGTCTATTGATGCACTATTTGCTACCAAGTGGAAATTAAGAACAATTACGGATTCCTAATCACAACTAGCAATTCAAATTTAGGCTAAAGGATTCAAGGGATCCTTCTCAAAACCAAAATCCCAAAAATGAAAGAACGGTTCTGAACAAGAATTGTGCAAATAAAATCCAATTAAGTCTCAATGTTAAACAAGTCTCAACAAAGTTCAATGCAAACTAATTATAATCTCATCACTAGAATCAGAAAATTAGCAACCCATAATTTTAATCCTAAACAGAAATTAAACTTACGGATGGTARAAAATTGTAGAGCATGAAGAACCCTAAGTTGAGAAATCTGAATTCATCTCTAAAATCTGGAAATGGAATTCAGTTTGCTTACAACATCTTGATTCCTCCCTCTTRCTGCCGCTTCTTGACCGACTGCTCCCTCAAATATCCTCTTGATTCTGCAACTTCAATCGAACAGCCCCCTCTTAATTTCTGCCTTGCTCGGCTTCTGTTGCTCGATTTTTCTCTCTATCGACAGCCCTCGATTTTCCTCACAATAGACCGACTTACAGCCCCTGTCTCTCGTTCCTCTCTCGATTTCTGCTCTTCTCTCTCGATCGACAGCCCCCTTTAATCTCGATTTCCCTCTTGAACGACTGCCCTCTTCGCCTCTATCGACCGGCTCTCTCYCCTTTTCTCCTTCCACCCGACAGTCTCTATATGCTGTCCTCCCTCGGTTGCTTCTGTCCCGACAGCCCTCTATGGATAGCTTTTTCTCGCCCATGATTTCCTGCTCTCGCTGCCCACGATCTCCTGCTGCACGATGCTCTGCTGCACGATGCTCTCTCTCTCGCTCTTTCGATTTGGACAGCAGCCTTGGGCAGCAGCCTTGGGCTGCTGCTGTTTCTTCTTCTCGATTTCCTTTTTGCTGCTGGCCTGGGATTACAAGGCTGCTTCTTGGGCTTCTTGGGCTGTTGTTTCTGGGCTGATTTTGGGCTGCTGTTTGGGCCACAAAAATAACACAAAATCAACACATTTTCAACTTAAATAGTCTCTAGAAGTTAAATTAAATTGACCCCTTTTAAGCATATATTTGCATAAATTTGGACTTATCAGTAGTTTTACTCCGATAGGTATTTAATCACTCGTTGAGTAAAGGGTTGTTTACTTTTTTATCCGTTAAATGGTAAATTCCATCCCTAACTTGTTGGTTGACTCTATTATGGTGACAAGTGATAGTTGATTTTTCAATATGAAAAGTAGGAATGTAGAAGGGAAATACTATATGAACCCTTTTTAAGTCATAATGATGTTGATATTTGTTTGGAGGAAATTAATAGATAAGGATGTAATTAACTTATAAGTAGTTTAATAATTTTAGAACTCACGGGATGGGGGTGTTTGGTTAGAGGTATTAAACAATAATCAATGAGAATAAACTGTTTGATATTATTATAATATAATGAGCTCAGTCTCCTAGAAGTCTAAATTTTCATTCCAGGTTAAACTGCGGGGAGGGAGGATGAAAAAAATTCCCTTTCATTTTCATTATCCAACATGAAGCCAACAACCCCTCAAAATTTTGTGAGATCCGTTAGAACTTTTTAAGGTTTTGTTTCACATGATCTTTTTTCCAACTAAGTAAAAGTTTTGGTGTATTGATTAGCATATATTTGTTTCATATGTATTTAGTTCTTTTGTGAAAAAAAATTACGTGTACTTTTTGTTTTACAAACATGTTAAAAAGGTTCATATTGTGAACCGAGACATTATGAAACAAATATATGTAGATCACTATGTTAAATTCTAACTAAAACTGAAAAAAAATCATATAAAATAATACATGATAGAACTGAAATATCTCAATTTAAAGAGTTGTTGAAAGAAATTCTTACAAAATGAAAACCAATTATGACGTTGGTTTTGGGACCATGCCATTCGTAGAGATAAAAAGATGCTATGGCATCAACCTATCTTTGTTATTTTTTAGATATATAAACAGTTAAAGTTGTGGTACTACTCTTAGTGTTGAAAGGTATATATTCTGGAATCTGGAAGTCATTTTCTCCATGCAAATATCAATTTCAACACAGATTCTTAAATCACATGAAATAAAGAGAAAAAAAAACCACTTTCAATTCTCTCATCTCTTCTACCTCATACTTTTCAAATAAAATCACGAGTAGATTACGTTTTTCGTCCCTGTTGTTTTGTTTAAGATTGCAATTTTCGTCACTCTAATTTGTAATTCATTGTTATAATTTATAATTTTCTGTTATTTCAATCCTTGTGATTTACAATTCTTTATTGTTTTGGTTCATTGTACATTAAAAGTAGGAATTACTCTATCGCTATAAATTACAAACCATATGCATAAAAGTAGCAATTTCCAAACCGTAAGAACGAAAACAGAAATTATTAACAAACCACGTGGATGAAAATCGTCATTTACTCTAAAATCATTTGGATATGAGTACATATGAAACCCACCTCTTCTTTAATAATTAAAAGTAGACATTGCTTGGAGCCTATGCACAAATGAATGCTGCTGCTGCTACTTAAAACAATCAATCTCTCTTCGCATCTCTTTTTCTTGAAAAAAGTGAGGAATCACCGTGATGCGTATATAATAACTAAAAGAAAAACACGTCTATTTGTTTCTATAATTACACGTCAACAACTATGTTACAAATAAGCCAACCCAAATCTCGCCCTTTTTAACTACAAAATTTAGTCGCAAAACTGACCTCCCTTCAATATCAGCCTGCAAAAGGCACAAAGATTCGTTATCCGTTTTCCGTCCTACAAATCAGCCTGCAAAGATATAAAGACTCGGTTATCTTATTAGAGGATCATTTGCCAAGCAGTATTTGGGTTACTGATAGAGAGCTTAACCTATAAAGGGGTTATGGGTTCGAATCTTACTAAAGATGAGAAGTGTGTGAATATTTATATAAATATTATATATATTTCAGAAAGAAATTAAGATTGTCATCTTCCATCCTATAGACATGGGAATTGTGAGAACATGGGATTAAAATCATTTATGTTCCACCAATGAAATTAAGGGGTCATTTACCAAACATTTACTCGAAAAATGTTTATCGATAAAATTTAACACTATCATTTACTTACCGGGTAAGATTTTAGTCCACCAAAACGGCGTTGTATGCAACAATTTCCTTGCTAAGTGCTTATCGTGGTAAGAGTCGTAGCTCTCACTTACCGCGTAAGACTCTTGGTCCTTGTTTCGCTCTTACTATGTAAGATTCTTGGTATTTACCATATTCATCCGGTAAAGTAATGTGACTTGATAAGCACTTACCCGAGTAAGCGTTTGGTAAATGGCCCATAAGTCGCATCAGATTTTCATTTATTTTAAATTTATTTAATTCATGTTTATTACGTGTATTCATACGATTATGAAAATTTGGGACATGTGAGAATAATCCTTCAACACGGCCACCTCCAATGGAGGCTATATGAGAATATGTAGAGTGTTGTTAGATTACTTTCAAGAAGAGTCCTTTTTAAGGTTCCAACATGAAGGAGAAATGGTCCAATTCTAGTCGATGTTGGACTCTAACAGAAATCATCCGAAAGGGCTCAGCTTACCGGTTGGGTGCCGCTGGGGGTACCTAACATCTTTGCTGCTGCTTGGCTTACTTGTTACAGCAGCCATGCCTGTTTGATTCTGCACAAACATTGGTTTGGTCAATTTTCATGAAATTCAACCAAATGGTCATTGGTTGAGCGGTATATTACCAGTAGAGTCCAGTCTAAATATAGGTCAAGGGTTTAAACCTCATCAAATGTGAGGTGTGTATAAGTTTTATATGAAATATTATATATTTAAAAATAAATTGGCTAAAAATAACTGTAAACAAGTATTCAACGTGCCTGTTGTTGTTGTTGTTGTGCCAATTGTGTTTGGGGGAGACCAAGGCATTGTTGATATGGATCTAGAAATGGAACCCGTGGTTGGTTTGCATTCTGTGTAGGAAATGAGTTCATCATCGGGTCTGAGGGGTTAGCCGCCTCGCCTGTTCCTGGACCCATGATGGGAACCTGCGCCATCTGAAACCGAGGAACTGGAAAACGTTGACCCATATGAGCTGCTGCTGAATTCGGCATTTGTGGACCAGGAAGAACCGATGGATATGGAACCATGCCACGGTTCATTCCTATGTGATCCATTCCCATTCCCATTCCCATTCCCATCCCCATCCCCATAGCAGGCATCGTTGGCATGTATCGCTGGACACCTGGGAACATCATAGGAACCATGTTGTATCCCATGGACATCATCTGTACAAAATCGTCAAATTTCGTCACCTAAATGAACAGAAGAATAGGATAGCTGACCAAAGGTTCATTGGCTAAGCGGTACCCAAGTTACCAGTAAACCTCAGCTTTTTAGAGGTCATGGGTTCAAATCCACCAAAGGTTTTGGTGATGAGTGTGCATGAAGATTTGCCGTATATAAATATATGATTGTGTATGCTTGCACACAAGTTAAGGGTCTTCACAAAAATGGCAGTTCTATCTAGGGGGGAACTCACATGGAATGATGTCCCGCTATAGGGGGGGGGGGGGGGGAATTTACGTTTATGTTGGGTGTCACCGTAGTGTTTTGTTAGATGATACCATATACTTTTGAAAATAAAATATTGGCACAAGACTTAATGGCTAAAATGGTAAATGTTCCTGCCTATATACAAATGGCCCAGGTTCGGGTCCCACAATTGTCAAATTTGTAGTTTTTTAGCTTCATTTCTCTAGTGTTTTTTATATCTTTTGTGTTTTTAAAATATATGTAGACTATACTCAAACATGGGTTCTTTTATGTAAAGACAAGTATCAACCAACAAACAACGGATTTGTATTAATATTATGAAAAAAATAGATATTTTTTTAGTCAAATTGTGCCCCCGTTTGGAAATTTTTTTGGGTCCGCCTCTGGTTCTACACTTTGGGCATCAAGATAAGTATGCATACATCTCACCCTTCGATACCCTACTTTCAAGCTGGATATACTGAATTTGTTTGATTTGATTTGGTTTATGTGTCTGTGTATGCCAATTGATGTCATCGAAACTGAAGATGAAACCTGAATATGATGGATGGAAAATGGTATAAACGAACATAATCTTTATATATACCTGCACTTGCATCTGAAGCGACTTCAAATACTCGATCGCCTCATCCAGCATTGAAGCTTTGTCCGACTAGCATTCATAAATGTTGAACAAGTTTTAGTTGCAAAGCTAGTATAAATGGTATTTGGGTTACCGATAAATCCTAACCTTCTTGAACTTCAAGGGTTCAAAGGTGAGAACTACCGGTGAATTTTGGCGGTATATAAATATTACATATTTCAACAAAAAAATGTGTAATCGGACCTTGTTGCAGCGAGGAATTAGTTCTTGTAAAGCCTTCATCTTTTCATTAATCCTATCTCGACGTCTCTATACACATCAAATTTCATTTCATAAACACCATGACACCAACTGAAGTCCAAAATGCAACTCAGAGCATTTCCAACGGTTATCCTATATTTTCTCTTTTTCTAAATTTAGAAATTTCTCCATTATCTCTCGTTTCTTTCTTTATTTTAGAAGAGAGTTTAATATAGCTGTTGGAGCAAACATTTTTTCAAATCTTCAAAATTTTAAAATAGTTGAACTGTTGGAGATGCTCTCATGAGTGTAAAGTACAAACCCTTTCTGAGAGATTGTGGACTTCTGCAGCACGGGACCTCTTGGTAGAAGACGCTGATCCACGCGATTTCTTCTTTGGATCGTGATACTCAAACTCGAGGTCCTGAATTCAGTTAAAAAGTTGACAAGAAAACTCAATACAAGCACTGTAGTGCCTTACTAATAATTCATATCTACCAACTTTAGAAATATGTAATTATCTCATTTTTTTAATTAATTAATTTATTTATTAATAACAATTTTATGCTTTATAATAGAACACATATAAATTTTCTCCATTCATAATTAATATAGAATTGGAAGTCATCACTCTTGCATAGTAAGATTGGTGCTAAGCAGCGGAGGATGTGGCATGTAAAGGGTGGGGGATGGTCCCCATTTAATCCCCCCTCCCCCCTACATAGGTTAACAATTTCTTTTAACCTTCTACCATAGTTCTTCCCAACAATTTCTTACTAGTGCCCCCATCAACTAAAAAAGTTACCACGAAATCAATCAAAAAAACAAAAGTCTCTTGAAATCAATCAAAAAAACCGGAAAAGTCCCTTATTATCAATAAAAAAAACTAAAAGAATCCTTTGAAATCAATAAAAAAACTTCAAAATCTTCGAAACAGTGGAATTAGTCTTAAAAACGGTGAATAATTTTGCGGGCCTTTAGTTTACTTTAAAGGTGTCTCAGCTAAACAAAAATTCTAGATCCGCCACCGATGGTAAACACTTTAATTTATCCAGTAAATGTTAACCGGATAAAAGTCACCAACCTCATTGATAGGTAAGATCCTCTTACTCCTCACCATGATAATCCAGTAAGATATGTGGTGCTTATGTTGGCAAATTTAGAAAGGCAGAAGCGATAAAGCGACTTGACAAATAAGGCTCATAATTGGAGCGTACGTGATCGAAATGAAGACAAAAAGGGTGGAAGTAAAAGCATGCAGATATGGTACACTTGAGAATGCAAAATGCATGCAAGACTTGTACCATTATTCAGGTCCAAAAGTAGGAACGTACAACCTACAGAAGCTACAGAAATGAACTATTGTGTTCGTGAATCAAGGAAAGTTATGAAAATCGACCAAAATAGTTAATTTTATCAAACAAATTCACTTTTTACCCATTTTCAGAATCTCTTTTTAAAATAGCTAATCTTTGTGTTTATGCATTTGTGGAAAGACTGATCCCATAAAAATTAAAGGAAAAAAATCCTGCAAAAATCTGAATTTTTCAAATTTCTATATAAGGATAATTTTCTACATAAACTTTGGCTAAAATAGGATTAAATTGAAAGAAGGCTAAAAATTAAAGTTGATTGAAAAATTGGCTATTTCGATCAATTCCCCTACTACATGTACCTTAGTGGAGAGATGAAATATAATCATAGAAAAACATGATTTAGAGAGAAAACAAAAACATAATATAAACCCACACCACTTTTTGGCACAACAAACGATTTCAAAAAGGAAAATTGACCCAATTAATCATTTTCATCAAAATTGGTGTCTTAGTCATTCTTCTCCACCTCTATGAGTGACAGCTACTTAATTTGTGGAGGGGTACAAAAGTAAAAAAAAAAAGAAGTTTTTAAACATGCTCCATAAATACAAGGGCCAAAACTATAAAATTATATAACCATATCCGCGTGACCAATTGTGGATGTCCTTGTGGATCATATTCAGAAACTTCTTTATTTTTTTTATTTTTTGACCACTTTGTAAATTGAGTAGTTGTCACTTACAGAAGTAATGACATTTTGATAAGAGAGAGAGAAATGATACAAAAAAACAATTTAAGATGGATAAATGAATATTTGCTTCAATTTCTCTTTCAAAAATAAGCAGCTATATATGTCCCATGATCACTATATATGTTTTTCATTATCACCACTCAAAGAGTCAAAGGTATATACTCAAACCCAAGCTAGACCTTCCTGATAAAAACATATGAAACTCTTAAAATTTGTTTTCCTAAGTATAAAAAACATATATTCTTAAGAAATGATCTAAAACACACTTTTCAAACGATTGTTAGATGGATATAAATTATTTCAGAATGTCCAAAAACTCATTTGAAGAGAGCAAGAGATTTTTATCATATATTAAAGAAAATTTGTTTAATTCTAACTGATATAAAACTCTAACTAATAATAAATAAAACATATACATACACTTAACTATTTTATAATTTCTTTTTCATACAAGAATATATATATATATACATACACACAAACACACACAATTATCAACTATAACCCAATTAGACATCATTACTCACTCTATATATTGTCTCCTTAAGGATGATATTATATGTAGTTATACACTATCATAATCAGTTCAAATCATAAATTGACAATATAAAAATAAATTTTAATATTTATGTGTATATCTAGGAAATTGATAATTAGGGGTACATTTAGCCATATATAAGAATATATTTAATTCATTTCACGTTAAATAAGAAACAAAAATACTATGATTAAGAAAATTTTTGTATCCGTAACTTGAAACGATAATATCATAAGCTATATGTATAAAAATAACATATAATCAAGTTCGAAAATAATTATATAATTATGCATAAAATCAACAAATATTAACTATATTTTTAAAAATTGTCAAATATAGTTTCATTCTTACAGACCAATATGTAACAACTCAATGGGTTCAGAAACGAAAAAAAAAGGGACAAATATGAGTGAATTTTTCTTGAATAAACGTTTTCTTAACGTGAAGTAAAGTTTGGGAAGATTTTAATCCTTCATATTAAGAAGTTGTGGGCTCCAAAAATGTATGAAGGTGGTGTGTGTGTAGACCCCACATAGCAAACGTGTCAATACCGAGAGCCACGTGTGAAGCCGGCGTTTGACGTGGCAAAAACCTTTTCCAAAGGTGCATCGAAACTTGCATTTTTATGGGTTGGTTGGAGTGGTGCTGGTACACGACAAGAAAAACTACAAGAAAGCAGCTGAATAAATCTATTGGACAAACCAAATATGGTGAAAACCCCTTTCACACAGCTCGAGTCGATCATAATACATCGATTAAAGGTGTCATCATTTGTGATATCTGCATCAGAATCTGTAACTTATTCTGGATTTCAACCAAATTGCAGTGCATTTATATATAAAAAAATTATATATGATGCATAAAAGGAATAATGTTTAAAAAAAACAAGACAACGTTTAAATCATATATGATTTATATTAATATTACGTGTAAAAACTAAAGAACGTCTAAGCAAGATGGCAAATTATACCAAAGGGTTTTTTACTTAGTGGTATCGTAATCTTTGGTATTTTAGGAGGTTAGAGTTCAAATCTTACTAGATGTGAGTTTATTTGTTGTATTTACGGTATATAAATATTATATATTTCAAAAAAAATGGCAAATTACTGGATCTACAACTTAGGTCATAACTAATGTCATGTCATAATCACATGTGATTTTGGTGTATAATCATATGTTAAAGGATGTGTCGTATGCTATTTCACACAATCTTTTTCAATCTACAACTTTGTTTTAATGTATTGATTAACATATATTTATTTCATAATGTATTTGTTTTACATGTATTTGTTTTTTAATGTCTAAAAATATTGTGTTTGTAAAACAAAAATATAACTGAAAATTTTCAAATTGTGAAACAAATATATGTTAAAAAAATTATATGAAAAATCTTAAAATAATATATATATCTTAATAATTAAATTACTTTTATTTTTATGTATTCTAATTATTAATTATTAATATTTTATCAAATATATATATATATATATATATATATATATGTGAGTGAAAATTGCAAGAGATAATAGAAGGTGCAAGTGGTTCCATGATTCATGCGAATGTACAAGTCTATGAAGCCCAATGGAAATAACTGGTCATTTACCTCGCTGTAACATTCTGTATCGTCGGTGTCTCTTCCCTTCCGTTTCCGATCATCCGTCGCCGGCGGTGGCTTATGAGAAGACGGTTCCACGCTGGCACTTGCTCCAGAGCCGCCGGTACCAGGAGATGACGATGCGCTGACATCACAAGTTTCCGGTTCCCTTCCGGTTCCGGCCGATGATGTTCCAGCACCACCAAAACTACTCATGCTACCACGGCATCCGATGTTTGATTCCACCACCGTCGACTGCGTTATCGCCTGAGACATCTGTTTCGAACTTGACGGACCTGATCCGGCTAAACCTCTTTTATTAGACCTCGAGAAATGCAAGAAGTTTGCGAACTTCGGTTGGCTTGGTTCCTCATCCACGCGGTTCAATGGAGGAATCGGAGGCCGAGTAGGAGGAACGGTAACTAACGGAGGCGGGGGCGGTGGTAGGGAGGAAGGGAGGGTGGTGGCCGGAGCAGAAGACGACGACGGCAGAACAGGATACGGTATATCGTTATTATGAAGGTAAAGGTCTAAAGAGTTATCGTCGCTAGGGTAATGAAGCCAAGAGACCATCTCATCTTCTTGCATGAACAAATTAGACGGCGTCGTTTCTTCGTCAATCACACCGGATCGGATCTCTCTTCCGGCGGTCGACGGCATCGTTTCCGACTTCTTATTGCCGGCGGATCTCTGGTTTTGACTCTGCACTACGACCTGACCGTTTTGCCATAATAACTCCATTATATCTTCATCTCCCCTACAAAATTCAGATTTATGTTCAAACAAAATCCCAAATTCAATAGAAAACGAACAGAGAAACGAAATGAAAAGAAATAATTAAAATTACATTGCAGATTTCTTGTGCCTTTTCGAATTTGCAGAAGCTGAAAAGAAGTAATCGTCGTCCGTTTCAAAATCAGGAACACAATGATTCATCCTCTGAAACCTCTTGGAATTAATCAAAAATCCAAAACAAATAGTACAAAAACTCTCGATCGAGCTTTTGTACTACTACAATCAGCACACAATGACTCACTGTAACCAGAATTCAAGGACGATTAACCTTATGAAATCAGATTCACCGAAGATGAAGCAAAATCTACTGATTCCGTTGCTGTAACAGAATTTGAATAGAAAACCTTAGGCAGCAGCAGCAGCATCAACAATCTTCAGAAATATGTCATCAAGTATCGAGTTGTGAGTTGGACTGGTAAAAGTTTCTGAAAATCATGAGGTACAGAAAGGACATGAAGCTATTTTCTTGGGTGGGAGTTGTTTGCAGATCAACACGAAGGGAGAAGATAAGGTGTGTGCTTTGTGTCTACTCTCTCTCTCTCTCTCTCTCTCTCTCGTTCTGCATTTGTTCATTTTATCAAATGGACAGGATGTCACCATTGACTTTATATTTTGCAATTTTAATTTTATAAATTTATTAAAAATAAAAAAAATATCAATTTTTTTTTATATATTTATACAAAATGACCAGTTAAATCGTCAAAGAGATCTGCTATTAATGATGTTTTCGATTAATGTTAAAGATGAGACTCGATTTCTTGAAACAGATATATGATAAAATCCATGCATGCAAGTTATTGTTGCATCTGAGCGTAGTAATTTTGTTTAAGGCAAAATGCGTGAAATAACAACCTACTTTTACAAATTATCTTATTATAGTATTGTACTTTCAGTTTTTCTTATTACAACAATATACTTTCAAAATATTTTTTATTAGAATATCGTATTTTTTAAAATATAAATTTAATTTCAAGGAAATGTAGATCTGCACAAATCCTATGTAAATATGACAAAATGAGCTAGTCAAATGATCATCAAATCAGAAAAAAGAAATTCAATATAAATTAGAACGGTTTAGGTTTAGGGACCGTTTACTAAACGCTTATCTGGATAAGAGTTTACCAAGTCGTATTCCTTTACCGGATGAATATGGTAAGGACCAAGAATTTTACCCGCTAAGAATGAGATAAAGACAAGAGTCTTACCCGGTAAGTGAGGATGATGATTTTTACCATGTTAAGTTTTTTAATCTGATCTGTAGAAATAAAATATTATCTGCGTCAAACAATTTTCTGTTAAACATTTCTAGCTCTTTGATTTCTTTTATTGTAACGGTATTATCATTTTTAGACAATCGACAAACTCGTATATTTATGGTTGTAAGGAGACGGAAATTCAAAACCTAAATTTTTTTAAACGTCAATTCAAGCTTATAGAAGACAAGAGCAAAATTGATTTGTTTCAGTAAACGATAAAAGAAACTTTAACGGTTAACAAGTACTTTAAGTGGAAAATATTATGTTGCTTTTTTTTATTAACTTGGATATCCAACTCGTCATGTAAGCCAATTAATTCCAGAACAACCACATGCTTTGCGGGTAGCCCGGAGTCATCGTTTTTGAATCTCTGTGGCCACAAGGGGATTTTTATTTCTCATTGGATTTGAACATGAGACCTCCAGACACTTTTGACCTTTGAAGCTCAAGCTCAAACAAATCAGGCACCACTTTTGTGGTTAATACTATGTTACTTTAATGATGTTGACATTTTTACATGTTCAAAAAAAAATCTTCGAAGATCAAAATCATAGTTAGAATATCGAAATTATTTGTCGAAAACAATTCGAGATTTCATGCAATTTATATTAAAAACACAAAAAGTTACTGAAATCTGAACAACGAAAGTAACTTTAAAATAACAATCTAATGAGCTGTTTGTTTACCTCTTAATAGTTCTATTAATAGGCAACCTCTTAATCGTTAATAGGTGAATCTTGTTTGACAAAATAAAAAATCTGCATCTTAATGGTTCTAAAACCCTCTGAATGATTTTGTGTCATGAACCTCTCTTAACCATTCAGCGCCCTAATTACTTAGTAAACAACTACTAAACAAATATATTTCATTTTGCACCATATCATGAGAGTCTCTTAATCATTCTGACCACTTATCAATCTGCACCAAACCATTCAGCAACTGCCAAACAGCCTCTTAGATATTAGATTGTGGGTTTTGCCCACATGTTCAGGTTGTCGAAACGCTTTTGTTGGTCGTCAATTCCACTCATTTCAAAAGTTTTGTTCGTTAAAGAAATTGACGGTCCTTCCACAAGCTTTAACGAAGAAGCTTTGCATATTCTCAGTTCTCTGCAAATGATTCTGTCAAACTTCCTTAATCTGTTTCACATTAGATACCACTAAAAGAATCATCACTTGGTAATAATTGAATCATAACTATCACCGTCATGTATTATCTTAAAAAAACAACTTTACATAAGATTATATCTGTTATACATATGACGTAATTTCTTAAACGACTTATAGTATATACTGTCGTTTTTATTGTGGTCAAACTTTTTTGAAACATATAATATTTATATACGGTAAATAGAACAAATAAACTTACACACCCTACTCACCTTTTGTAGGCTTTAAACCCTTAACCTCCTAAGAGACCAAATACTCACATACTGCTAGGCCAACCCGTTGTAGCGGTGAGCGAAATGGGAGCATTTTTATTGAAAAATCAGGGGTTTTCAAGCGGGGTCGGGGGAAAGAATAGGAAAAATTTGATAAGTGCAAATATATACATTTTTACGTCAAAATTACCTTGAGATTAATGTCAATTAGATGCCTAAAATGTCCATTTTAGTTTAAAATGATATTTAATCTTATAAGGTCATTAAAGTTGAGAAATATATTGATTATGTGTTTGTTTTTTCTTTGGCCCAAACAGCAGCCCAAAAGCAAAGCCATAGTCCCATAAAAACAGCCCGTGTAAAAGGAAAAGAAGAGAAGGCAGCAGCCTTGTCGGTCCGAAGAGGAGAAGCAGAGCGAGAGAGAGATCGTGCAGCAGCAGAACGTGGGCAGCACATCGTGGTCGTGACGGTGTCGGCCAAGAGGAAACAGCAAAAATGGAGCAGCAGAAATCAAAGGGGGCTGTCGATTGGAGAAGGAGAGTCGGTCGAGAGGGGGCTGTCATTTTAAGAAAGGAAATCGAGAGCAGCGGAGGAGGGCTGTCATCGAGCAGTGAAGAAGAATACAGCAGGTCTCGAGAGAGAAGGGGACAATATACAAGGACTGTTCGATTGGAGAAGGTAGCAGCCGGGAGAAAGAAATCGAGCAGGGAGGCTGTCGATCGAAAGGGGGCTGCTCGATTTGGATTAAAAGCCGAGAGCAGAAAGACAGAAGCTGTCGATTTAGAAGAATA